ATTTAAGTACCTAGCTACTAAATTTGCAAGAGGGCTCCTCGAGTGTCTTATTTGTTTTTTGCGGATGACAGTATACTTTTTGCTAGGACAAATATTCAAGAATGCTCAATGATAGCTAATTTTATTAGCCAATATAAAAGAGCTTCGGGCCAAAAAGTCAATCTCGATAAAATTGAAGTTGCTTTTAGTAAAAAAGTGTGTCCTAATCGGCAGAATGAAATTATTGAAACTCTGGGGGTTCGTGAGGTTGCTAGACATGAGAAGTACCCTAGGGTTACCGACAGTTATTGGGAGATCTAAGAGGGCTATCTTTGTGGGTATTAAGGAGAGGATTTGGAATAAATTGCAGGGGTGGATGGAAAAATTGTTGTCCCAACAGGGCAAGGAAGTATTGATCAAAGCAGTGGTCCAAGCAATTCCGACTTGCATAATGAGTATTTTTAAAATTCCGGACGGAATTATTGATGACATTCATAGGTTACAAGCTCGATTTTGGTGGGGTTCTACGGAGGAAGCTAGGAAGTTACATTGGCAAAACTGGGAGGTTCTATGCAAACCGAAAAATCAAGGGGGTATGGGGTTTCGAGATTTACGGGTTTTCAACCAAGCTTTGTTGGCGAAACAATGTTGGAGACTCCATCACAATCATGGTACTCTTCTACACTCTATTTTAAAAGCAAAATATTTTAAAAATTGTGACGTGTTAGAGGCGAACCGGGGGTATGATCCTAGTTATACTTGGAGAAGTATATGGGGTGCCAAATCGGTGCTCCTTGAGGGTTGAAATGGCGGGTTGGTAATGGTTGTGATATTTTGGTATGGGATAGTGTTTGGTTGCCGGGTAACTCTAGAGTTTGTGTGCCTACCCCGTTGCCTCATAGTAACATGGAGTTGAGAGTGTCGGATTTAATTGACCATGTGAGTCGGTCTTGGCGAGTAGATGGGATTCAAGCAAATTTTTGTGCTGCTGATCAGGCTTCAATTCTTTTAACCCCTTTATCTTATCGTTCTCTAAGGGACGTGATGTATTGGTGGCCTTCTAAAACTGGTGATTTCAATGTTCGGTCAGCGTATTGGCTTGGCAAGCAAGGTCCGTCTTTGGCTCAATCAACTGACGAGGTGTGGAAGATTATATGGAACATGAAAGGGCCTCCCAAGCTCACCCATTTTCTATGGAGGGCGTGCAAGGGGTTTCTTGCGGTGTGAGAACGGCTCCTCTACGGTCATATGATAGAGGATAAAACTTGTTCGATTTGTGGGAGTGGGGATGAGTCTATTATCCACGCTACCTTTGAGTGTAAGGCAGCATTGGATATATGGGCAGCAAGTAGTTTTAATTCCCTTATATCTCAGGTTCCCTCACTATGCTTTGGGACTCGTTTGGTGTGATAAAAAATTAACTGTGATGCCTATGTGGGATGGGTGACTGGGCTTGGAGTGGTGTTGTGAGATGACGAGGGAAGGATTGTGGCTGCGGCAGTACGGCAGGAACAAGCAGGGTGGACTCCGGACCTTGCTGAAGCTGCAGCGTGCAGGTATGGGCTGCAAGTGGCGATCAGACTCGGCTACTCAAATGTGCAGTTGGAGAGTGACGCATCGAACATTGTCAGTGGAATCAAGAAGAAGACAGGTGGTTTTAATCCATTATGTATGATGATAGATGATATTTGTTCTCTTTCCCAATTTTTTTTGTTGGTTTTTTTGTGTCTCATGTTAAGCGAGCAGACAATACTCTAACCCACCGCGTAGCACGGTGGGACTCCAAAGATTGTAATGAATTTATTTGTCTAGGCCCTTTCCCCCAAAGTCTTTTAACTTTGGCGGAAATTGACCTCCTTTAATGAACCCACAGGTGTTTCCTCAAAAAAAAAAAAAAAAAAATTACCTAGCTCCTTCATGTATCACCATGATTAGTTTCATTATTTGTTAACTAGTTCATTTGTTAATTTTTTTAAGCTACAAATCACTATATGTATATGATTTTATACATTAATGTTAATAATGTATGACCCAATCCAAAACTTAACTTGGATATATCAACCTTAAGAAAATTGAGTTTGAACCCGAACATGATTGAAAAAAAATAAATATAAAAATTGGGTTAAACCCATAGAAAAATTTGGTTCTGGATTTAAAAAATTGTCATTTAATGCAATTATTTTTCCACAACTATTGAGATGATTTCATTATGTAAAAGTCATAGGATATGCTTTTGTAAAAAAAAAAAAAAAAAGTCATACAATATGTACGTATAACAAAAATTAAATTAGCAATTAGAAGAAAGAGGGGATAAGATACAAGTATTATATAACTAGATGATTCCCAAAAGAAAGAGCAAGATACATAAGACATAATAATAACTGCCCAAAAACGTTAAGAGTAACACTTAAGAGTTGATGACAAACAAAAAAAACCAACTAGCACTTCAGAAACAGCTAAGACCACACTTAAGACGTTAAGAGCTCGTGAGGGGGGGTGGCCGGATTCCCGTGAAACCGAAAACAGCAGAAAAACCGTAGGTAAGATTACAAAACCAAACATTATTATTACTACTTGTATATTAACAAACCGCATAGATTAAGGATGGAGGTTGCTTGTTTACACAGGTATCAGCCGTATCACCGTTGAAATCTACCTTGTTCTTATCATACATGCTATAAGTATGTGCTCTATTACTTGCCTTCTTTGTATGTGTATGCATCTATTAATTACACGTTCGTTACACACATCTTCGTATGTACGGAGAAATAATACAAAAGATTGCGTTTAATTCACCTAATAAGTAATTATCAGTTTATCACTTATTATGCATGGTTAATTAAATTTATCTAAACTTTATATAAGGATAAACTGAACTTGATTGAGTAGCTCTTATTAACCCTATTTTGATATGTATTTTCGGAAAATATATAGGTTTAGATTATGGTTAATAAGGGCTAGTTAGGTTCATTTTACAGCTAAAATAAGTTCTTATATAGTAAGTTATAATAAGTTTTGATAAATAAAATACAGGTGAGTAGAACACACCCTAATAAATATATATATGCATGCAAAGTTGTTAAATTTTATAAAATAGATTTGTTTGATCTAATTTTTTTTATTTTAAAGCATTTCAAAACGATACTTTGTGCTCTATATATACTTAGTACGGAGTGCTTAATTAGTATAAGTAGATTAATATTCAAATTTTATTCTCATGTTATTGACATACATGAACCTTTAATTAATTAAGAAAAATTAAACAACAATAGACTAGATGTTCTTATTAATTTATGTGGGGAAATATTATAGTTGTTAATTAGTCTTTAAGTTTTTTTTTTTTTTTTTTTTTTTTTTTACGGGATTCTTTATGTACTTTTTCTATTAATTAATAAAAGATCATATCACTTTACACAATTTTGTTACATACGTAATAATACTTTTTTTTAGATAAGATGAAGGACTCTACTAAATCGCACTTAGAGGGAGGAGGTAAGGGAATCCCCCTACTCCCAAGCAAATATAGTTGGTAGAGCTCGAACTTGTGATTTCAAAGTTACGAGGTGAGTTCCTCACCAACTCCATCAAACTTTGTTTGGTTGTACGAAGTACTGTAATACTTAGAGCAAAATTTGGCGTTTGAAATTCATTTTACATATAAATACTTGTATATCAATAAGAGTATAAGACAAGGTAACTCATAGTTTGGAATTTTTTCCCCAACAACAATTTTCCTAGCACCACAATTCCACCATATAATTAAGCCAGATGCCCACAACACAAAGTTTATAAATTTTAATTATGATTATTTATTTTATTTAATTTGGATGGAGAAGGTATGACGCATAGCTCCTATATGCAAACATTGCACATAGGATAGCAATGTAGTAATAAAGTTGAAGTTGTAGTGGGAGTATAAAGTACCATTTAATAGGTAAATAGTACCATTAAATGTATTGTTGTAGTGATATAAATATTATGCTAATAATACAAATAAGTATGTAAATGGTACATCAAAATATTATACCACTGTGAAATATAATAGTACTACTAAGACATAATAGCACAATATACATGCATAATAGTACAAAAAATTTACCACTATAACGATAAAAAGTACCATTCCGAATGTCAAACCTCAACACTTTTTCACTTTTGCCATCCTATATGAAAAAAATGTATGTAGAGACTATGCGACTAATGGGACTCTGTTTGGACCAACAAACGTACTAGAAGAGAATTTATAGTCAATAGACTTATGTAGCATCACTATCAAATCAGGATGAAGCCAATGTCCAAAACTTCAATTTGGAATATTATCTTTGTTGTCTGCCCTGAAGCCAACATTTTTATCAGACATACTTCTTCCAAATTGTACGGGGATAAACCTTTCTTCAGTTTTTTTTTTAAAAAAAATTTACTTTATTTAAATACTCGTATTGGTTTGGGCTTATTTTTTGTTCAAGAATAAATGATGGGAAAATTTGAATAAATAATGCATAATAATGTAAAAGTGCAAGAAAATAGAATAATTATGTAATACTCATGTTCATAGAATTTTTTTTGAGGAAACGCGAGAGAGCCTTCATAATTATGCAATACTCATGTTCATACATAGCTAATTAATTAAATTTAAAATCTAAATTCAACATTTAAAAAAAATAAAAAAAAATTATGAACTCAAATCGTGACAAATCTTATAAGAAGTGAGAATTACGCTATCATGGAGATGCTCCTTCTGGGGCTTCATCCTATACAGAAGGAGTGGCATATCATCATTGTGCTTGCATCAATTGATCATCCAAACTAAACCTACTTCTTATAAAATAATGTAAACAAAATAATTTATGATGCCAGAAAATTTAATTTTCTTCATATCTCTAATGAATACTTTTGTGTTTACCTTATTCAAATGTTTTTTTACTATTGGTACATTCGCATATTTATAAATAGTCCAAATTGGATGAGCTCAATCTTGAGCCTATACATTTAAGCTCACTTAGAGCTTGTTGAGTTTCGAATGTTATAAAATGGGTTCAATTCAATCAGACAACCACTTAATGTTTAGTTAAGTTCAATTCAGCATTCGGAGGCTCTACTTAAGTCTATTTTAATTTGAGGCTTAATTTGGTCGTCCATACTCAAGCAAGTTTTGAGTCTTTGACCAAACTGAATTTAGAGGCCCAAAAAAAAAAAAGAAAAAAGTTTACCTCAAGTTGTTGTGGGTCATTGGTAATTAGAAACGAATCAGCACCAAGGCGGCCCAAAATTTTATCTCGGACCTTTAAGCCCAAAGCTAGCAAACTTAACGAGTTAACGGCAACAACGCCCAGCCCAATAAAAATTAGGGCTTTTCAACTTTTACGGCTCTTCCGAATTCTGGTATGATTCTTGTTCCAAATGTTTGTTTGAATTGTAATTGATTAATTGTGGTATGATTCTTGTTCGAAATGTTTGGATGAATCGCAATCTTTCTTCATTTTCCCTGATTAATTTTTCCGCACTATCCCTAGTTTCTGTCTTTCTGATAATTCCCCCTTAGGTGACTAATCATGGCTACCAATACAACCAAGGCTCGAACCAGCAGCTTCTCTCGCAATCCATTGGCTGGTCCCACTTCTCAAGTTCCGGGTCTTAAGCCCGGCCCTAACGGTGTCGTTTTCCTTTCCTCCGGCATACCTGACCTTGACAGTAAGCTTACACTTTTTAACTTTTTTTTTTTCCCTCTTAATTTAATTATATTGCTCTTTGATTCTTAGATGCTGGGTATTCCGCAAAATGTGACCTTTTTTTTTTTTTTTTTTTTTTTTTTTTGGGTATAGTCATATTGATGTGCTATTACAGTATTGGTTAATCTATGAAATGTTGTAGGGTTTTCTGGAGGTGGAAATTTTATTTGGGTGTGTGAATTTGTTGAATTAGGGCTTTAATTTGGTGAATAATCACCAAGTGATGTTTAACTAGGATTTAGTTAGAACCTAGTTTTCTGAAATTAATTTCCTTTCTATGTTTATGGGTGTTCATGAAGGTGTGATTTTGTCAGCTTTATGATGGATTTTTTGCCCCCTCCTTTAAAAACAGGGATTTTGGGAGGTGGGTTCAGTTTGGGGAGTTTAGTTATGGTAATGGAAGATCCAGAAGCACCTCATCATATGTTATTGTTGAGGAATTTTATGGCGCAAGGATTAATTCATAATCAACCTCTTTTATATGCGAGTCCGTCGAAGGACCCGAAAGGGTTTTTGGGTACTTTGCCTAATCCAATGTCCCCTAAAGATGACAAGCCTCGTGATCACAGTACTGAACAGGTATCTAAGGATTATTATTGTATGGATTGTGGAGTGTATTTTTAATGGAATTACCCAGTTACCATGTGGTTTGATTGGTTATTATTGTAGGATAAGGATTTGAGGATTGCTTGGCAGTACAAGAAATATTCGAGGGAAAATCAACCGGGCCACGATATTAGAGGTAAATGTGAATTAGTTTTCATCCCTGCTAATGACATCTCATGATTTATGCTGTTGGTTATTAAGACATTGGATATCTTGTAACTTGCAATTTGTGGAATCTTAGAGGGAAGTGGAAAGTATAAGGAAAAAGGCCTTTTCAATTTGTAGGAAAGTGCAATTTGTATCTTGTAACTTCGAATAGCATAAACTTTGATTGATTATTAATAAAGAAAAGGTGGTGAAACTCATTTGGTGGCTTTGCAGATTCCAAAATTGAGTACTGCAACAATTTTGATTTGCGTAAACCTTTGGGGAGGGAACATTTTGGAGGAAGGCACATTGATTGTGTGAGCACTCAAGATCTGACTCTGGACACACTTCATCAGCGTTGCTCTACATTTTTAGCTCAAAACTCAAGGTATGCCCTTTTGGTGATATAAAGGATTAGGGGAGGCAATCCTGCTTTTGTGTAGGTTCTTTGTGACATCTCTTTTGCTTCTCATTACTGAATTTTTGCTTCTGATATGGGATCTTGTAAGCAACTTGATCCACTATATCTCTTTCTCTTGACGTTACCCTTCTCTTATTTGCAGAAGTGGTAATAGCATTCCTTGTGGTGGCCGCATTGCTATTCAGTCATTGTGTGCTCCCCAGTGTGGATACTTTGACAAGGTAGTAATTCTTTTATGCCCTTTGTTGCAATGCTAAATATTTCTGTTCATTTTTTTAATCATTTATATGTTGGGAATTTTCTGCTTTTTATGTTTCAGGACTGGAATTTGCTTGCTTTTATTAAGTCTTTGAAAGTCATGGTTAAGGCATCAAATTCAGTTGCCATTATTACCTTTCCACATTCCCTTCTGCCATCATCCTTCTCTAAGAGATGGCAGCATTTGGCTGATACCCTGCTCTCAGTCAAAGCAATTCCAGGCATGTCAATGGACTCTAATTATTTATGTCAGAAGATCATGGTTCTTTATTTTAATATCAAAAGTAATTCATATTCAATGTTCTCATCAGATGAGGACAAGGAGTTAGCACAACTGCTTACTGGATATCAAGATATGGTTGGTTTCCTCGGCATTCACAAAGTGGCCAGGATCAACACCCAGGTATTTGACTATTTGAGATCCTCCTTGTCTAGGGTTTTTTTTAAGACTATTCGAGCTTGCTTGATTTCTTAGCCCTGTGGGGTTGGTGGGAGATTGGGCTTTTGTGCGTGTATGTTCTTTTTTGGTAACAGTATAAGAGAAGGATTATATTTTCTTAACTTTTAGTTCCTTTGTTGGTTGCCACAAAGCAGGTACCTTTGGTTTTAGAGGCTTCAACATTTTCAATCAAGCTTCATAAGCGTAGATTGTTGATTTTAGAATGTCTAAATCAAGCTCCCGTTGATGGTTCAAGTGGAGCATCGTATGGCACATCTAGTAGTTGTTCTTCATCCACTAAACAAGGGTCTCTTGACTTCTAAACCTTCTATTTGATCCACAAAGTTTTGGAATTTATCTCACGCTATCAATGTCGGGAATTAATGGTCCTTTAAATCATAATCTATGCAGCTTACTGTTTACACTTTATGCAATGGTAAGAAATGATTAGATGGCATTTATATCTTCTCGTTTTTCAGATTTATGATACATGGGAATGATGCTAACTCTTTCATTCTAATGCTGATAACAGCATAACACAAGTGCATTGCGCAGGAGTGGAGGAGCCTGAATGTTGAGGTTGTGATACGATTAGAAAAGTCATATGGCATGGTACATTGACAAATGGTCAGTGCTTAGCTTGTTGATGTAAACTTGGCATCTTTTTCCCTTAGTGATGTCAACTACAAGCACTGTCATTATTAGTTATGGAAGTGACATCCATATTCGAGGAGGACGATTGATGAGCCACTTCCTGTCTCTTGGACACAAGTGTGCTCAAATACTCAATGTCCATCGGCATTTTTGACAATGTTATCTGAGACCAAGTGTAAATGATTTAGTAGCTGTTAAGAAATGGGAAGAAACTATATTCATTGTATTATGAAAATGTTACTGTTTTCCCTGTGTTTGAAAATTTTAGCACGGGAGTTTGCTGGTTCTATAGCATAGTGGTTCTTGTAAAGGGAAGAGTATGTAAGCCCAACTGCCCAAGCACCGTGTGTTGTGCATGCTTGCCATGCGATAAGTGCTTGCATTTCGTGTGCTGCTGTGACACGTATGCAGCAGCACGTAATGCATGACATACTCGAGCAGCTTTCAACAACATACCGATTTCAATACCCAGATCATTAGCTAAAGTTGTTCAGTTAAAGAAGATGCACATGTTTCCCATCCAAAAAAAAAAAAAATTCATGTATCATAATTCAACTACAACATCAATTGTTCTACATATATTATAATATCAATTGTTTCACATAGAAGATACAAGGTAGTAACCAAAGTAATTATTGAAACAAGACTTGTCTCTAGAAAGTCACAACTTATCACAGCCTCGTCAGTCATTAGAATGGATCTATCATCATTCAGCTTTCATTGTGTTAGCAGTGTCGATGACAAAACGGTACCTAACGTCTGCTTTGAGTAGACGCTCCATGGCTGTGTTCACATAATCCACCGGAACAACCTCTATATCTGCTTTAATATCATGCTTGGCAGCAAAATCAATCATTTCTTGTGTCTCTTTCATGCCTCCTATGCAGCTTCCAGCTACGATCTTCCTACCTGTTTTAATTAACACAAAAGCCAATCATGAATCTCCATTGTAGTTTATTAAATTAAACGCTTGATAATACAAAAAAGAAAATAAACAAACAAATTCTTGCTTATTTTTTGGTAGGGGTTAGGGGAGGAGGGTCGCTTACCCATTAGCAGAGGGAAGATTGGCAACTCAAGAGGTCTGTCTGGAGCCCCAACCATGACCAACTTTCCGTGAGTCTTCATCAGAGCGATCAATGGTAAGAGAGGGTGAGCTGCTGAGACTGTATCAATAATGCCATCCATTGTTCCTACAGCAGCCTACACAAATGCAAGCAGGTCTAGTCAGAAAATCCACAAAGTCTAAGCAATGCAATCCGGAAGATATATGCAACTTATAAGTTTTTACTGGACAAATGCATATGCTTAAAGATTAACTACCTGTAGTTGCTGAGGGTCGCGGCTGACCAGGAAGGAATCAGCACCAAGACGGTTGACAGCTTCTTCCTTTTTGTTAGGTGAGGTACTGATAACTGTGACCTTAACACCAAAAGCCTTGGCGAATTTCACAGCCATGTATCCTAGACCACCAAGGCCAACAACACCGACATGGAGTCCAGGTTTATCAAGCTCAAAGTACTTCAAAGGGCTGTAGACAGTGATACCAGCGCATAGAAGAGGGGCAGTGGCATCGAGTGCCATGCTCTCAGGGATGCGAACAGCAAAATGCTCGTCTACCACCATGATATCAGAGTAACCTCCATATGTAGGGGTGCCATCGTAGTAAGTGGATCCATAGGTTAGGAGCACTTTGGGGCAGTAATTCTCAAGATGCTTGTCACAACTATCACACGAACGACAGGCTCCAACCATGCATCCTACCCCAACTTTGTCCCCTACTTTGAAGTTTTGCACCTTGCTTCCTACTTCTGTAACCACCCCTACAATCTCGTGCCTGCAAAAAAGTAACATATATCTTTAAGTATACTCCATAACACAGTATGTATACGATACAGAAACATTGTTGGAAAAGGTAATTACCCAGGAACAGCAGGATAAGAGGCATTCCCCCATTCATTCTTAATGAAGTGAAGATCAGAGTGACAAATGGCCACAGTACAACACTTTGAAAGTCACATCTTGCTCTCCTGTTGCCCTGCATATCAAAACAATATTATTTTATAAGTGATCTGCTAACTGCATCACAAACTAACAAATTCCCATTAAACACATAACTAACGCGGTGTATGTAACTTGTGTTTCGAATAAATTACATTACAGGATAGTATCATATTGCTGTTTAATGCTTCTTTCATTCTCCTTATATGAAAGAACAGATGATAATAATCCCACAAACAAAGAAGAAAACATTTTGTCAATATTTCGTTCATAGGATAACAACTATAAGTTCAATTCAGAACAATAGCCTTAAAGTTGATTATCCAGAACAATAGTTAAAACAATTCGTATAATAGTGTGACTTGAAAATGGCCTTAAATCATGTACTTCAAATTACTACAACCTCCATCCGAAATCAGGTAATTAATTCTTCACCACTTTGGTATATCCAAAAACAAACCTTTAACACCCCATGAACAGTTGGGCCCTACCCATTCCATTTTCATAAAAAATAATCCACTTTCAAATGAATTAAGCTAAATGGAGAATATATAGTTCTCCAATTAACCTTTCTGCTTTTATTTTTTTCCCCTTCATATCAACGATCCATTCTTACCCGTCTTTCTTGATATGCATGCCATAAATAATATAATGTACTTCGCATCAAATTAAAAAAAATAACGTACTCCTATTTGTTATTACGGCATTATAAAACGGTTATGTCATATGCAACCATATATTTATATAAGTATTTAAAACAATTCTTAAATTGAGGATTTATGGAGTATAAAAACTTATAGGGCTTCGTAACTTATTTTCCTTTAAAATTCTTTTAATTGTATAATTTCAAAGCAATCTGATTATAGACAAAATTGACAATTTGTTCAATACACCCCTCATCATCATCTGTGATCTCAACCGATCATAAAATGATTACGTTGATTAATAAATCTATACGTATTAATTCATAATACACGACAATCTGATCGCTCACAAAATCACCACCTCGAGATTAGAGAGCAATATGCATGACAAAACACGCTAAAATATAAAACATCAATAAGATTGAAAACAAAAGAATATGAAAGAAATAATTATACCTCCTAGAGAAATGGAAGGGAGAAAGGGTTCCTGATGTATCTCTAGCAGCCCAGCCAAAAGCCTTTTGTGGGTGTACATCCTCGGGTCCTGCCATTTTTTTTTCTCTTCAAATAATTTTATTGTAACTTTTGTAAAAAAATTCTTAAATACAACTCCTGAAACTTTCAAGAGAATAAAATTTTTATTTTTTAACACTTTGTTAAAAATAGAGGGAAAAGAAAATGTATGAACGAAAAAGTTATGACCCAAAAATGGGTTTATATAGCACTCAATTGAGGAGCAAAAGTGACGTAGTTCGTGACCTGAGATTTTGTGACAGCCTCTGTAATTTGGTGGAATGAATTTATGTTCATATGCGGGTGAGAATTGACCGTGGTACATGAGTTTCTTCTTGTAGTCTGTATTTTGCCACGTGTCTTTAAAATGTTTTACTTGTGTTTTTTTGTTTACTTTCTTTGGACAAGGAATTATCACGTAAATGTTCTGCTTTTGAAAATCTAGAAATCACGATTTTATACTTGTTTAATTCAAGATTTCGTAGAAAAAGTACAGACAAAAAGCTAAAAAGAAACAAGTACTCGTGGAATTTTCTAGTTCTCATAGAATTTTTTTTTATATTATTACGATGATAAATATTGATTGGAAAACATTTTAAGACCATCTCCATTGGTGAGACTCAATTTTGAGTATTAAAATGCAAAATGAGTTGTTTTTTATCTCTATTGATGATACTCAACCCACTTCTCAATTTAGCAATTCATGTTAAATGTAATTTCCTAATGGTGAGACTCTCTAAAGTATACTAATATCTAGCACTGTCAAAAACCGAACCGAACCGGTGAAACCGAACCGATTCAAACCGATTCAAATGAGAACCGAACCGATTAAAAACCGATTTTTTAAAACCGAAAACCGACCCGAACCGCATTTTAGTAAACCCGAAACCGAACCGATCCGAGTAATGTTAAACCGTTTTAGAACCGAACCAAATCTAAACCGAACTGGAAAGGAAACCGAACCGAAAATAAACCGAACCGTTTCTAACCCGAAACCGTTTAAACTGGCATAAAAACCGTTATAAACCGAACCGTTATAAACCGAACCGTTTACAAACCGAACCGTTTACAAACCGAACCGTTTATAAACCGGACCGTTTATAAACCGAACCATTTATAAACCGAACTGTTTATGAACCGAATCCTTATAAATCGAACCGTTTACAAACTACTTACTACTAGGAGTGGTTATTGGGTGGGTCAGTGTGGGTCGATGCAGATCATTTACGAAGTGAGTCGGTTGCAGGTCAAGATGAATATTTAGCGGGACATAAATAATAACCAATAACTCGAGATAAAAAAAGGAACAACATATCAATATGTAATGTGACTAAAACTATTAATACTTGTTCTATGAGATTAAAACATTTTAGCAATGAGGCAACACAATATATATTAAGCATCACTAGTTCACTACAATACAACATCCATGTCTTCTTAATTAGATGCAAAACTTTCATCTATCACTTCTTTACCAATTTCAAGGACGTCTTCTTCAATATCACAATCATAACCACGTAACCAATTTTGTGTGGTCACCAACGCCTCAACATTCTTAGGCAAAAGCGCACTCCTATACTTGTTTAAAATACGACCACCCATGCTAAAAGAAGACTCTGAGGCTACCGATGTAATAGGAATGGCCAAAACATCCCTAGCCATAACAGCTAATATGGGGTACACACTACTTTGAGATTCCCAATACTTAAGAACATCGTACTTCTGCCCTTCATAAATTGGTTGTCGAGGAGTACACAAATAAGAATCAATCTCCATCGATGGCCGATTTGATGTGTCATCCTCCTCATCATCATCATTATCAACATACTAGAAAAGTTCAAACAAAATGCTTTTATTAAATAATAAAATTAAAACATAAAATTATTAATTTTGTAAACCACAATAATCAGAAATTGATTACCTTGAATATATCATCATCCAAGTGACTATTTGAATTTTCGATAACAGCTGGGATGGAGGGTGGAGCATTTGTACTTGATGTAAAACCGGAAGACAAAGAAGAATAAAAGTTATACAACTCCAAAAGAGCATCTTTAATCACCTTCGCCTTTTCAACACATGCCTCATCAACATAAAGCACTTTTAACATCTTCATCACTCGAACAAGCTTATAACGAGGATCAAGAACAATAGCAATTGATAGGATCAAACTATATTCATCCCAATAGCCCTCAAACTTTTCAAGCATAACTTTTGCCATGGGTGCAAGTTTAAGATCTATATGGGCTTTACTTATTGTGTGCTCAATTTTTAAAACACTAGCAAAATACAAATTTGCAGTAGGATATTCTGAACCAGAAAATAACACAGTGATTTCATGAAATGGCTTTAGGAAATTACATATTTTAGTAAGGGTATCCCATTCATCATTCGAAAGTTTGAATTCATAACCTATAAACCTATCAATAACCAATTTCAAGGCTTCCTTTGCTTCCAAAGCTTTTCGAATCATCGTATATGTGGCATTCCAACGAGTCACAACATCAAGACGTAACTTTCCATTAAACACACAGTTAACCTCATGAAGAGCATGCTCAAATTGAGTGAGTCTAGAATCTGAAGAATCAATATATTTACAAACCTCACGCAATTTTTGAACACTACTATCAACTTCTTTTAAACCTCTTTGAACAATAATGTTCAAGACATGAGCTGAACATCGAATATGAAAAAATTTACCATTACAAGGAAGAGGAGAAGTCAACATTAAATCTTTCTTCAAAAGGTTAACCATAACATCCATGGATCGAGCATTATCAACAGTCATTGCAAAAGCTTTACCCTGAAGGTTCCACTCCCCAATAAGTTTTAACACAAATTTTTCTACCTCAACACCAGTATGAGGAGGACCACAATATCTAAAATTCAGAATTTTAGACCTAAGACACCAATTTTTATCAACATAATGTGCCGTTAAAGTAAGATAACCTCGATTAGTACATGCTGTCCACAAGTCACAAGTGAAGCTAACTCTACCTTCAATTCCCGAAAAAGATTGCAACAACAAAGACTTAAACTTATCATGCTCATCAATACAATGTTTCAAAATAGTGTTTCTACACACATGATTCACGTTGGGGTTCAAATTCGTATAAACTTCCCTAAGGCCATGATGCTCCACAATACTTAAAGGATAGGAATGCAAAATTATAGCTGTAGCAAGCAATTGTAAATGACGTGTTTGATTAAACAGGAGCTCAACACCACTTTCATGATTTCCAGGATGGTGTGGATTTTTATTCATGCATGTCTTAGTATGAGCTTTACAAGTTGAAGTACCAGCATTACCTGGAGTTTTATATTCATTACCGCAAACATTGCATCGAGCATATTTTATCGGAGCAAGACCAACCATCTTATCAAAAAAGGTGTAATACCTCCAAACATCTGATGTTCGTCCACGCTTACTACCACTAGTGGTACGTTGAGTAGAATCTTGATTCTGAACAGTAGAATCTTGATTCTGAACAGTAGAATCTTGATTCTTTACAGTAGAATCCTCATCAAAACCAATAAACTCTTGCTCCATTGCTGAAAAAACAAAAACACAACAGTATAAATCAAGTGAAAAAAAAGGCAAATTAAGGGCAAATAAAAAAAAATAGGCAAATTAACACAGCAGCTCCGGACCTGCTTGCTTCTAGCAAAGCACACCAGCAACCTAGCCCAGCAACAGACAGACAACACAGCCCAGCTAACACAAGACGACAGCAAAACCACAGCTGCAATACCCTAGAAAACCAGCAGCAACCAACCCCAGCACCCAGCCTGCAGCAGAGACATCAAATAGGACAGCACAAACCATGGCCAGAAAGACTCTGCTCTGAACAGGGCAGAAAACACCCAGCAGATCCTACAATCTAGCCTTGTACATCTAGCAGATCTGGCCAGACATTAGAACAACAGCAGCACAGGACAGACCCTAGCTAGTACTACATGCTCTAAGCTGAGGTAGTCCATCTACAATTCAGTCCTAAAATATACTAAACACTATTAGACAACTCCTATCTGAATGCACTTGCACTTTTGCAACAAAACAAAACCCAAACTTAAATCAAAAAATCCTGCTAGCATTCAGCATTAACCCACATAAACAGAAACACTAATGAGAGAACAATGCAGCTGATAGAACAAAGGATAGCATTCAGTATATTTGAAGACTAATAGAGCATTATAGACAAAGCCATACATTTTAAATGCTCAACAAACAGCAAACAGTCACAAAGGCAGACCAGCAACAACACAGCAGCCTGAAAAAAACCAAGCACAATTAATAACACGAAAAGAAACCACGAGCATGAATAAGGTAACCAAATCAACTCAATTGTTGCTCATGGTACTACAACCACAACCCTGATCAGAACTGAGCATAGCCAAAGCTGGTAAGGCCAGAACACCTCACAAATAGATATAACAAAAAATGAACAACAAGAACAATAAAATTAAAAAATCAGAAATTAAATGAACAACAAGAACAATAAAATTAAAAATTACATGAACAACATCAAAAAATCAGAAATTATATGAACAAATCAGAAATTATATGAAATTATATGAACAAATCAGAAGTAAAAATCAAAAAATAAAGACATGCAAATCCTACAAACAACGAATCAGCAACATAAAACCGAAATGAAAACAAAAAAATTAACATAAAATTACCTTTGAGCAGTGACGGCTTGAAGGAGAGGAAGATTTGAAGATGGAGAACTGGAGAATGAAAAAAAAACGAGAATGGAGAGATCGAAAAAAAAATCGAAAAAAACGAAACGAAAACAAAAACAATTAACTAAAATTTACCTTTGAGCTATTGAAGGCTAAGAGTTCAGAGCTTGAGAGTTGAGAACTTGAGAGTGAGTGAGGATTCAACGCTTCGATTTGAGGATGAAGAAGAAGAACGGTGAATGCTGTGGAATGAAGAGGATGAATGAAGAGGATGAATGAAGAACCTAATTGCCTTTCAGTCTTTCACAGTTTCACGTTTCACTTTCTTTTTTTTTTTTTTTTTTTTCTCTTTTGCATAATATATGAACCACATGTTTATTTAATTATTAAAGAATCAAAATATCTAAATTCTAAATCTAAAATGTGTTTTTCCTTTTGGTTTTTGGAGGGAAATTTCCCACCATATTT